TTATCGGACTCCGATGGGGATGCCAGCGAAGACCGATCTGTGATGGAGTGGCCAGCTAGGAGTAACAATCGTGATAACAATGGAGACGACGAGCTTTTTGGACAGCAACCGGCTGCCAGGCCGATCACGTATCGATCGAACAAGTTCCGTATCTTGACCGACGAAGACCGAACAGGTATCAGTGTGACATCTCACTTGGAGCAAACAGGTGATGCTACTTTGGACGACTCCACAGATCGACCGTCATTTACGCTGAACACTAATGATGATCTGACTCAGTTCGATCTCGGCACTGAAGAAGTGAGTGATTCCATGGATGATTCTTTTGCTTAACGGGTCCGGATTACTTGTGTCTGTTACCTGTACTCCAGTACATAATTACTTGTGTTTCTCATTCGAATATTAAAGAAATCTGCGGCAAACTAAAGTAGGATAATATTCCCAAAAAGACGTACTCTTATTTTCATTATTTTTTTATTGTGCTGTATAGTGTAATGGATAGCAGAAGGGGCAAATCACACAGTCACGTGGACCTAATGTTAACTTATGGGAAGGGGCAACTTAAGCCCCAGAACTTGAAGTGGGGAAACCATATAAAGTCCCATAGTTAGGCATGGTATCGAACCGTATGATAGTGACACTGCTTACCACCAAAGTTGGATGGTGATAGTGGTGGCAGTGGGGTGCTAAACAGTCTGTCAGCGATTCACTTAGTATTTCTTCCTCCTGTATACACTGATTCTTATTTAGGCAGCTCCGCTGCTATTGGGTTCAGAAGCTGTTTACTACTATGAGGCGGTTATGTAGTTCGTCCAAACAATTCGTAGGGTATCGATTATCGCTTATCATAGTGACCATGAGTTTCCTCTCTTCTACTGCACATAGCACATCTATATATATATGTATATTTATATGTATATATATATATATTTATATGTATATATATATATGTATATATTTATATGTATATATATATGTATATATTTGTATATTTTATACACGTCTGAGTCCAAACTGTGCCAACCAAATCACGGTACAATGATCTTTGTAAAAACAAAAAGTCCATGATTTGCATGTGGGTGGAATACTGTCAGGGTGCCCAGGCCAAGGTAGGATAAATTTCTTGGAGAATTCACAACCAGAGCCTTCGGTTAGTTAAAACCTAAGCCGCGAGGCGGTGTGAAAACTGCCGGTGTTCAGTTCATTGGATCATACACCCTTTGGACAGATTCAAACGTCCAAGGTGCTCACTAAGCCTCGATATCCAATTGAGCCGGTGACCACCGCCACAACCGGGAAAGTGTAGGTGTGTGTTGTTCCTCTTGGTTGGTTTGGAAACAGGGTTTTTAGTCAACTCCTCTGTGTTAACTGCTAGTGGTTCACCCATCCGCTTATAGAGTTGGATGTTGGCTTTTCGTCCTCTCACTTTGATGGGAAAACACCGCCACAGGGAGGCAGTGAACAGGGCTTCTCCAACAGAGGTTATTTGAGACGCTTGACCATAAAGAAGCATTTCGAGATGTACAAAGGTGCAAAGCTACAATGCATAATACCCCACCCCCACATACTGAGGCGTTCGCAGGCCTTGCATTCAAGTATGCAATCATGAGATATGAAAAGCTGTATTCAGTCGATCTCTAGATCCGCATCAGTTTTTTTAAAATCTGGAGTATCGCCAAGAACAAATACATTGATCGCTTCATCTTGTCCAGCTCTCATTGAGCACAGTATCAGAACTATCACAGTCATGTGTCACTCTTCTCAGTTTATGTATCTGACTGTCTTCTTCCGAATGGTGTGACGAAGTACTCCGGGATCCTTGCCTCGCTTGCCATTTACGTGTATCGTTTGTCACAATCCAGTCACGATGATCGTTTAACTTTTGGAATGATCACTTTTGGTCAGTGTTTATGGAATAGAGACAGAAACAGAGAAAGAGTCGAAAATAACCATGAAAACATCCACATGGGATGCGGNCCCCCCCCCCCCTCATATCCGCATTTCATCATTATCATCATCATCATCAACGACAGGTGCTTTTCGTTCTTTTGTTTTTACTTCTACTCCCTCAGTGCGATAGTTTTTTCCCTCTTGTTCCTCGGTCGAACTCTTTCCGTTCTGCTCCGGGGCAGAATTATTTTCACGACACCAGTTCCACATAATCCGGTATCATGCAAATTGGGCCGCCGGGGTACAAATTATACAAAAAACGTACGTAGTAAGCAGAATATAACAAAGATGTGACTAGAGTCGATTCATTGCTTGAAATACAGGCAATAAACGTTCGCTAATTACCCAATCAATCAGAGTTACCTCGTACCCGGTCATCTTGCGAGTGTCACAACACAGTACAATTCCGCGCGCTGGTGCACCTATACAGAATTCGTCTATCATGATGTCTTATTGAAAATGATGAAACGCGGTCTTTATCGAATTGTTTTCGCCAATATATAATATAGCACTACCACTTCCGGTATGCTTGCTTATAATTTTTGAGAATCCTTACAATCAGTGTATGCCTTTGTGGGCTGGGTCCATTCATTCAGCTGTATGTTTCTGGGACTAGGTGTACCTTCACGCAGGGGAGGTGTTTCCGCACTACAGTAAGAGGACGAAAAGCCACACACACACACACACCGGGTCGTTGAACCCAATTAGGGGAGTTGGCTGAAAGTGCTAATCCCAAACAAACCAGGAAGAAGCGTGCGAACCGCGCGCCTTTACACATTCCTGGTTGTGACAGTGGTCACCAGCTTGCTTCGGAGTGTCGTGTGAGTAAAATAAAATGGTGCAATGCTTTGGTTTTTCTTATTACACACTATTGTATGATGAACAGCAGTTGGAGCGAACCCCATGGTCACGAGGACCTGCTGTTCAGCGATTGTAACCGGCAGCCTAAGCCTAGACTTGGAGCGATGAAGCACGTAAGGCCCCGCTATGTTAGGCGTGGTATAGAACCGGGCGACAGCAAAGCTATCAGCTGACAGGCAATAAATTGCGACTTCTACTTGTTTCACATCTATCGTGATAGACCGGAAGGCCAAGATTCTTCTTACGATAACGAGCACGTCTTCAAACTGACTTTGTTAGACGTGCATTGCCTCCGCTGTTTCCTGTGATCGAATGATCCGGCTTTATGAGGATTTTAGGGAGCATACTGGGAATTTGTCACAGGTAACAACACGTCCCCGATTTCATTCGACTGTTTGTTCTGCACCACCAAGTACGAAGCACAAGATTGTGGGACTGTAATATAAAAGTGGTGCGCTTGGATTCCGACCACCTTTCTATATCTTATCAACTCACAGATTGATTTTACGATACAATTCGCCAAAGGTGCGTGATACCCCTCGAGGGCTTGCTCGCCAATGAGGGGACCGGGAACTTTGCTTTTGGCAATTCGTAATTTGAATTTTGCATTGCTCAACTAAGGATTGAAAAGGTTTGGATTAATAGTATGATCGTTACGATGATATAGCCCGCGATACGTGTTTTTTCTTTTCGCAAAATTTCATGATTCGTTCGTCATGGTTTTTCAACCAAACCCGAACAATCAGAGCTCAGTAAAATAGGTGTCGTACTGGGTCGAATACTAGCAACCACACGTTACCATGCTTTCCACGAATA